TCCATCAGCGGTCTGCCCCGCGCGCGGGCATGGAGACCCGGCAGCCGGCGCCTGCCTGTCCCGCCGCTCCGAGCCTCGCACGCTCCGCCGGCCCCGCCGCCTCCCGAATCGCCGCCACGGCCAGCCGCGCTCCCCAGCCACGTCTCAGCCCGGCCCCAGCCACAGCCACCTGAGTGACAGCCTCGCGCGGACATCGCCCATTGAGCGAACGTCCCGAGGCTCCTCTCTTCGATTGGCCGCCAACCCTGCCACTCTGAGCCGGCGGACTGTTCCTCAAGTGTCAACATCACGTCTACCAATCAAGTCGTAGTAGCGTTCGTGGAAGCCAGGCCCTTTTCCGGATGCGAGGGCCAATGAGAAATGCCCCTCCCCAGAGTCTTCTCACCTGATTGGTAGGCCCTCCCAGCTCCCGGACTACTTTTACTGGAACAGATTGGTCGGCCCTGTAGTTGGCCTCGCCCCTCAACGTGAGGCGCTGGAGAAGGCTTGAAGATCATTGGTGCAGGTGCACGCCCCTCAAAGAGCTGCGATCACTGCTTCTTCATTGGTTGGAAGCAGCACTTAATACGTGGCCGATTCTGACTGCGAAGAGGACGGTCCCCAGTGAGGGAGAGAGTGGGAGGCGAGTCCCAGGTGGCCGGGAGGTGGCCGATCTTAAAGGGACTGCTGCTTCGGCTCTCCCAAAGCAGAGTCATTTTGGAAAGGGGCTGGGGGAGTGATCACACAAGCCCTGTGGCTCTAGAGGTGGACTGAAGAGGAAGGAGGGGTTACAGACGTGGTCCAGTTAGTGGCTGGGGCCGTACTGAGAATTACAGCTTGCTAGACTGACAGAGACTAGATGACTCCGTGCCTCCTACCTTGTTATAAAGAGGAAGGAGTCGTAGCCAGGTACACTTCAATATTTGGTCTAACGTCACATAGCTAGTTAGTCACAGAAATGTGACTTTAATTTGAGTCACCGGATTGGTCTGGCGTGCTTTACACCATTCCACAGCACTCTGCCTAAAAAGAGAGAAACCGCAGACAGCCAAAGGTTTGAATGTTCAGCAAAGGCATCTAAAACTTTCTTAAAGCAATTAAGACCCTGAAGATTTCTGAGTGGGTGAATGGAACGTAAAGTTGCATCCTTCCACAGTGTATTCAGAACAGCAACAAAGATGAGACTGGCCAAAACGCTGTGATGACTTTTTAAGATGTTGGAAGTTCAGAGTGGTTAGTGAGTATGTACCACGTGTCTGTTGAATGAATAAATAAGCACCCAGCAAGAGAAGCAAAAGAAACAAGTGGAAAGAGATTCCAGTTACGGATGGAAGGAATTGATTAGCGAAGTGAGATCCGAGAGTTATTTTGAGGACACAAGGACAGATCTGCATTCATGCTGAATGCAGAGATTAGGAGTCATCCCTAGAGAATAAATTATTTCGGAATATAGAGAAGATAGGTAAGAGAGCTCAAAGCAGTTGATTAATCAAACAACCAAACAAACCCTGAAGAGATTCTGCCTAAGTGAAGGATTGTAATAAATGATTCGAGGAAGTTGTCAGAAAATGAACAGAATATGAAAAATGATTAAGTACTTGCAATGGCCCATTTCAAATTAGTCGGCGCATATATGTTAGAGGACATGGTCTTTGTGGTTTTGTAAGTTTTTTGAAAAAAGATTATGGCATGAACAAGGCTTTCAATTCATGCTAATGAATTGGGAATCTGCTTGCTACCTGTAAATGAAGTTTTGTTCACATATTGATTTGTTTAGAAGTCAGGAGGTATCTCATAGCCACCTGCATGCAGTTGTAGTCCTTGCTCTCCAGAAGCTCAATGTCTATCATGCTAGAAAGACGGACATTAGTGACCATGAATATGCTTATTTATTTATAAAAACAAAGATAAGTGCTCTGATGGACGAGGTACAGGAAGAACACAGTGATGGAAAAGGCCAAGAAGGATCATTTCCTTTATACCTGGGAAAATAACAAGCAAATATTTACATTTTGGAAAAAGAAAACAGTCCTGACTCTAGAGTCAGCTGACTCAGATATTAAAGGAGAGAAAAGAGATCCTGCTCTTTTTAGGTCATTATAGCAAGTCCTGGTGAGTAGGTAGGAGCTCTAAGCCAGGGTCTGAAGTGTCTTGGGGAAGTGAAGGAAAGGGGGGAGTAGACATGACAACTGGTCAGTCAGGCCAGGCCAGGCCAGGAAGCTGGCACTTGGGTATCCAGAGCCAGGACTGCCCAGAACAGTTAAGATTCTAAAAGTGGACTTGGTCTAGAAGGTCTGCAAGGCAGAGCTAGGATTTAGAAACTGCAAACTGAATCTGTTAAGACAGAATCTGAATCTGGTTGTAAATAACAAGAGCCTTTCATATAATGGCTAAGTAAGGGGTTTATTTTTCTCAATGACCCAACAGCTCTACAGGTTTGTTTTTCTGCCCTTCCTGTATGACATCCTGCTTGTCACCACACAATCTCAGGATGGCAACTGCAGCACCACTTCTTTATTTCAGGTAAGGTAAGAGGAAAGGACAACAGCATATAGCCACCTGAATGTTCCCTTATCAAAGAGCAGAAACCCCACTAGGGTTTCTTTTATACCTGGGAAAATAACAAGCAAACATTTCCTACTTGCATTTCACAGATCAGACCATTTCCAATAGCCACCTCAAGCTGCAAGGAAAGTATACTGCCACTTTTGGGGTTCTTTTACTGAGGATGTAGAGGAAATTGTAATCAGTGTCGATGAGTTAATACGTGTACATTGTATAACAACTGTTACAGCATACACTTAGGTGAGTTTCAATAGATATATACACTACAGTATGTATACATACAGATGTATACATACAGCACATTTGGGGTTGGCTAGGTGGATCAGCAGTAAAGCGCCTTCTTGCTCCTGTTTATCTGAGTCTAATCCCTGGGACCCACATGAAAGAAGAAGGGAATAGGTTCCCACAAATTGTCCTCTGACCTCCACAGTGTGCTGCAGCATGGACAGACACACACACACACACACACACACACACACACACACACACACATTCTTTTTAATTAAAAAATTTTTTGAAACGTGTTTTATTTTTATTTTTTAATTAATTAATTTTTATACCCACTTCTCAGATAGCACCCTCCTAGAGCCTCTCTCCCCCCACTAGAGCCCTTATAATAACTCTGATATCCCTGATACTGTCTGCTGTGTTGTCGGCACCCCAGCCATTCCCCACTACTTGCCCTTCTGGTGAATCTAGTCAGCCTATCTAGAGGTCTTTGTTTTAGGAGGGTCAGCTGTTCCTCATCTACGGGTAATCAGGTGTCAATATTCCTTTGGATAAGATTGGGGTCTGCTGTTCATTTTCCCAGTTCTATGCTGGGTTACTATCTGGGAATCTCTTTGGCCACCCTGGCCAACAACTCATGTATGGGGATTGCCTGCATGTATGTGAGTGCACCTGTGTCGTGCATTGCCGCGGAGGTAAGAAGAGGGCTTCGGATTCCCCTGGAACTAGAGTTAAGGCGGTTCATAGCCGCCATTTGGGTGCTGGGAATCAAACCTGGGTCCTCTGCAAGAGCAGTCAGTGCTGTTAACCGCTGAGCCAACTCTTCAGCCCACCCACAAAAACACAATTTTAAAATGTAATACAAATGTTCTTTTAATGATACAGAGCATTCCCATTCCCACCATCCTGAGGTTGTCCTGAGGTACCTTGAGGTCAATTTCTCCTCTCCTCCTCCCAGGTAATCACTGAGTTTTTTTCTGTCATAATAACTAATCCACAATTTCTGGAATCTTTAATAAATTAATCACACAGAAATGCTCTTAGGTCTGGCCTCTCAATGTGTTTTAACTCATGCATGTTGTTTTATGTAGTAATACTTCATTTCTTTCTAAAATTAAGTACTTCTCACCCATTGGTGTACTTTGGGATAGTTCTAGCTACTGGCTGTTACAAATAAAGCTGTTATGAATATTCATATCTCTTTATGCAGATATAGTCTTTGTGTTTCTCTTGAGTAAGGACCCAGATAGAGAAAAACTGTCTCATATGTAGATGTAGAGAGATCTCTCTCTCCTTTTTTTTCTTTTCTTTTTTTTTTTTGGTCTTTTTGAAACAGGGTCTCCCTGTAGCCCCAGCCGGCCTGGAATTCATGTGTAGACCAGGCTGGTCTTAAACTCACAGAGATACATCTGCCTCTGCCTCCCAAGTGCTGGGTCTTCAGGTGTGTGCCACCATGCCCAACATAACTTTCTCTTTTTAATTTTAGTTATTCTATTGTGTGTATAGCATTATCTTGTGGGTTTTTTAATTTTTAAAATTTTTATTTTCTGTATATGAGTGTTCTGCCTGCATCTAGGTAAGTGTACCTGTGTCATGCAATGCCCATGAAGGACAGAAGAGGGTGTTGGATCCTCTGCAACTGAAGTTACAGGCAGTTGTTAGCTGCCATGTGGGTGCTGGGGTTTGAACCCAGATCTTCTGTAATAACAACCAGTGCTCTTAACCCCTGAGCCATCTCTCCAGCCCTTATCTTGTGGTTTTTGACTTGCATTTCCCCATCATGTACTTTGAGTGCCTTTTGGTGTACTTATTCAGCATTGTATATCTTCTGTAAAATTTTCTTTAAAGTGCTCATAAAGGGAAGAAATTTTATGAGTAGAAATCCAGCAGAATTTGCCATCCTACAAAATTCACAACACTGAATTGCTTAGCTATTGGCAAAATAATGCTGTGAAAGAAGCCATCTGTTGATTCAGTGGCTTAAACAACAGAAAGTTACACTCTCACATCCTTCATAGCTGGAGGTTACTCAGCAAGCCAGAGCAAGTTTTCCTTATGATAATGCAGAAACAGAAGAA